CTAAAATATTAGATTGCCTGAAGATAATTGAACGAAGTGTTGCCTCATAATTCGTGTGTTTCCTCCCCGTTCTTCCTCTCTAGCATATATTACGTCATAATTACGACATTTGATTAAGTTTTTCGTTACTTCTTCTTTTGTTATGATATTAGTTGAGTTCTTGAAGTTTAAGAAATATGATATTTTGGATAAAGTAAATCACAATTCATTCAATCGATATCTTTCATCTCTTGTCACTAATATGTCATAATTTTTGTTGGATTTTCTTTTCATAATCCGACTAAGACAATACGGTTAATTTGATCTCACTATCATTACATCTTTTAATATTTTCTCATGAAAAACAAAAACAATGTCATTAAAAAACTCACAAACAAATAGAAAATCATCGAGATCGGAAATATAAAAAGCATCTGAGTTTCATAAATCAAGCTTCTAGTTAACATCCTTCAAATTCAACCACATAACAATAAAGCATATCATTTTTTTGAACCTCTCAGATGCAGTATTCACATGATCCATCTTCACAATTTCGATCATCAACTCAAACTTTTTTCTTTAGGAAACTTCAGCATCTCCACTGTTTTTTTCATGCATCCTAGCGTTTGAAATCTCTCTCATTATGCTGCTGCTACTTCACTTCCCACCTCCTATGTTTTTGCCTATGTCTCTGTCTCTTTCAGAGTCATATCATCGATCACTTTCTCGTCACGAATATCCTCTTTGTTCATAACCTTCTGATCACTGCCGGAGCTTTTGTCTCTGTTACCGGAGTCATTGTCTATGTTACCAGAATCATTGTCTATGTTACCTAAGTTGTGGTCTCCGTTTCTTTCTATACCTTGTCTTATTAACCAAAAAACCACAAAACCATAAATAGTTATTAATATAACATTTCAAAAATGATTAATTTATGTCATTCCAAATCATTAAGAAATGGTTAATATGAGGGTTTCAGTTTGTAAAGACTCACCAAGTATAGCTATAGGAGTGAGAAGTTT